CATCCAAGAAATGCTGCTGAATAACTCGTGAGGCAACTCTCCATGATAACAGCGGGCATTACCTAATTTCCTTCTCTCAGCAGATCCCACACATTTCAATGTGTGCTCCCGATGCTGCGGCACCAGTGGGGTTTTTGTTTTGTTTTGTTTTCATTTAATTTGAACCACATTCTTTGGACATGTTACCAGCAGGAACTAGTTCCCGGAGAAGGGTATGAAGCTTGATAGAGGGTCAGTGGAAGAACGGGAAGACCCTCAAAGACACTGCCTGTCCCAGTGGCTCCCACACTGGGCTTGAACATACGACTGCGTGAGCACGGCACAGACCGGGCGAGTGTTTCCTTCTGTTGTACATCAGGGTCGCCAAGATTCAGAACTGCCTCCACAACATCTAAGAACAAACAACAAATTCTATCCCAAATCTTGAAAACTTCATACTCATCAAATTAAAAATAACTGAAATGAAACCACAATGAGGATCAATGAAAAATGTTCATTCTAAAAAGTGTTCAAACATAACCTTAAGTGTATTTAAAAGCGACTCCTTCTCACGCCCAAAACATCTATCACAGAAAGGGCCTTCACACATTATTCCCTTTTTGATGTCCAACTCAAAAAGTTCTTTCATAGAGCTACAGGTGTATACCCATGGGGCTTCAAAAGGTTTGTGCGAAAATGGAATGAAGAGAATATGGGATTCTTCCACAAACCATTCGAAGGGCCTTCAGATCATGCCTCACTGGAATGGGGATTCCACCTTATGACCTGGCTGCCCCTTGAGATCAGAACATTGTCTTCAGGCATCTCTGTCCCCAAAGCTGGTAGCAGTTGCTTCATGCTTAGTTGGCATTTGATCTGATTTTGAATGAATAAAATGTTGAAGTGGCTAAATTTTCTTTTGCTTTATCATTTTTGGCATTATTTTAATCATGGCAAATTCTATGCAACACCCACTACCCACTGCTGAGTCAATTGCTAGTCGTAGGGACCCTGTAGGATTTAAAACCGCCCCAGTGGGTTCACCAGGCTGTTTCCATACCCGGGCACCTCATCTCTCTCCCATGGAGTGGCTGGTGGGATGGAATCGCCAGTCTTTCAGTTAACAACCTACCACACAATCACTGGGCCCGGAGCTCCAAGGTTTTTACATAGCGGTCAAACACTTACAGAATGTTTCAGCGACACTATATAACTGATTCTCAGAACCACCATCAGATAGGTGTCGATTTCTATAACCCTTATTTTCTGAATGAGGAGCCCAAACACGGAGAAGATGGTTGTCCCCAAACTGCTTATCTAAGTCAGAGCTGGTACTTGCTCTGATCCTTCTGATTCAAAGCCCTTCATTTCTTTGTGAACCAGAGATCTTTCTTCCTAGACAGGACTATTAACTGAAGTGTCTCTTTGAATCATCTTAAGTCTCCCAGGCTCCCACTTCTCCATAAATCTAAACACTCTCATACTCTCCCATCTCACAGGCAGGCCTGGCCCCTTCCCCACATCCATCCACCTGCTTCACCCACAGCACGCCACCCCTAACTTGAAATGCAATTGTTTCTCTAAAAAATGTCACATGCATCTCACATGGACAGCTAGCAAAAAAGCTAGTGACTTAGTTCTTTTTCACTTTTATTTTGATAATCTTTTAATTCAAAGAGAGTAGTGTTAAAAAAAAAAAGCGCCATGTCCTCAACACTTTAATCTAACCAGTGCTGTGATTACAATCCTGTGCACTATTTTGAGGCTTTGTTTGCACAATCACAACTTCTTCTCAGTTCTGTCTTCTTGAATACACCAGCCAAGGGGTAAGTGCTTATGTACTCCAACTAGCATCTCTTGTACTTAACATACAAATATACCAAACAACTTAGCAGCCTACCTTAAACAGGAGAGGACTTCAACAACTCTGTGGGGAAAATGCCATTTTCTTTTCATTCCATCTGTCCACAGACTTTTTGAATCCCCCCTTAGTGTGTGCCAAGACACCAGTTATGAGAGCTGTTAGAGCTGAAGCCCTGCCCTGCCCCCTCCAGCATCAGTCCCTCCCACGCTACATCTGAAGGCAGGGTCATTACGTTGCTTCTTTCCTCTAGTTCCTTTGATTTATGTTTGGCACTCCACCTTTGGGCAATGGCCGAGGAACCCATCCCAAGTAAAGCTACCCCTTCCCCTTTGTAAAATAAGTCCCTCTCTACAGATGTGAGTTTATTTCATTTTAATGCACTTAAGTGGTGTTTATCAATTCATCAGATGCTGGACAAGGAGGGCAATGTTAAAAAAGTGTGAGAACTAGCCCACCAAGGGACAGAAAGTACGTCATGAGGACAAGCCTAAAATAGCAACCCTGTTATATTTAAACTCTCAGGTCTGTTTCTTAATCCTAGAATTTTAAATCGGCCCAATGCAAAACACTCCCTATTTCCCTACCTGGCAATTTTCACCAAGCCAAGCAGTGAACACAGAACTGGAGGCCGAGTGAATCACCACAGGCCAGCCGGTGGGTGGGCAACAGGAGGCACACACAGCAGGCCAGCCAGCCAGGATCCCGTTGCCTTCTCCAGTTTTAAACAAGGAACGGCCTTAACGGGGGGCTGTGTCTGGGGAAGGGGTGCTGGAACCTTTCATATTTGTTTTTCACACAATTCAGAAGAGGTTGAATGTTTACTAAGAGCACGTTATTTTATAATACAGAAAATTCCACTGGGGGAGATATGAATATTTAGCTCACATCAGAATATAAAAACAAACAACAGAGTGATTTCAGTATCTTAAGGTAGGAGATAGCAGCACCAGGAGAAAACAGATCGTGTAGAGACTCAAGTGACCACTTAGGCAGTGGTTCTGAACCTTCCTAATGTCACGACCCTTTCTTTCATACAGTTCATGTGGTGGTGACCCCCAACCATACAATTATTTTTGTTGCTACTTCATCACTGTCATTTTGCTACTGTCATGAATTGGGCGACCCTGTGAAAGAGTCATTTGACCCACAGGTTGAGAACCAGTGACTTGAGCTGTTTCTCAAGCATATCCTGACTTTGGGGGAGATAACTATATTTTACTTTTTTTAAAGTTAACAGTCTGAAAATTTTAGAAAGTTATAAAAAAATATTCCTGAAAAGGTTCTGCACATTGCTTCCTCCCATTTGGGCCCAAAGGTTAATGCAGTGGGCCTTCACACTTTCCTGGGCTGGAAGGGGGGTCTGAAATCAGGCAGTTTTCTCAAGCTCCTGAGAATGAGAGCTGGTGCTCCGAGGCCCACGGAAGACGAAGACACGCTTAAAAGGGTGTATAAAAAAAAAGGGGGGGTTGAACTCTCCCCTGGAGCAAAAGAAGGGGATTAGGAAACAGTACAAAAAGTTAACAGTGCTAATGAAAGCGAAATCAAGACACAAGGTCAAGAGCAAGTGGTTGAGCCTGTGCTCATGTTTCTAGTTAACTGCTAAGGTCCTGGCTGAACACAGCCTTTCCTTTCTTTGACAGTGACACATCAGGCTCCCACCACAAACACAGGCTGTCATGTTATGGGGGCGACAAATAGAAGGGCATCAGGAAAGACCTGTGCTATTCCACACCATGAAAATGTGGTCTGGAGGGAATCCTACCACATTACACTTCTCTCAATAGTGTAACTGATGGCTCTGCTGCCAACGTTGGGTTTATTAACTCTGGAAAAGTATTTCACTCCCACTATGCTTCGGCTTCCTCTTAAAAAAAAAAAAAAAAAAGCCGAGGAAGCCCCTCTGTAGCTGCCATTCAGTCAGTACTGAAACGCTCAGATCAGCACGTGATTTAAAAAAGTACTGAGGTTCTGAGCATGACAGGCCGTATCACGCAAGCTTCTTTTTCTATCCCAACTCTCCCACGTCTCCAGATCACCGTCATTTACGCTAACCGAATGCCAGGGAATCCAATTTCTCAGTTTCAGAAGAAAATACCGTGATTGTTTTGAAGCGATCCTTTAAAAAAAAAAATGCATCCTTCAGTAAATCCATTCCAAGATGCACTAAACTTCAGCTCAAGAAACTCATTCAAAGGAGCCACAAGACTCGAATTTCAAAGGCATGAATTGTTTCTGCAAGTTTGGAAATACACACGCTAGTGGGAAATCTGCCTGGTACCTATCATTCAAGATATACATGTGTCCTTACACATGAGCCCCAGAAAACATTTTCTTTTTGAAATCAACCTCGTCTGGATGCTCCCAATTTGTACAAAATCATCACAACCCTTCAGATCAAGGAGCCGCGTGGCTTAGGTGGACAGGGAGGTTGGGAGGGAGTTAAACTCAGCCCCAAGGCCACACATTTGAATGGTAACGACCCCCGACAGTCCTGTAACGCGTTTACCGAACGCGAACAGAACTTCGAGGAAGTCTTAAGTGCCCACCACTGGCCGCGAAAGCACTTTCTCCCCAGGAAACATCGTTTTCACCGAAAATTCCCAAACCCCAGTCCTATCCACTTTTTACTGAACAAAAAGCGTGTGTGCCGACGCGAGGGAGTGGGAAAGAGCGTCGCAAGAATTTGCACGGCTCTGACGCCTCCTCCCTCGGAGCGCGCCCAAGTCTGCGGCCTCGGGCTCCGGGACACTTCCCCTCCCGCCCGCCCCGAGCCGCAGCTGTAAGTTGAGAGAAGCGGGCTCCGGGCACGTCAATCAAACCAAGCCCTCCCGCCTCCCGTCTACACCTCCCCTCCCCCCTCAGAAAAATGCAGCTCGAGAAAGAAAGGCAAACGACGGCAACTAATTCGGTAACTCGTCTTCGCGGGGTTTTCGCCTCCGCCCGAGGCCGCACGCCCCGGAATAGACGCGCCGGCGGGCGGCGGAGCGAGAGCGCGCAGGCGGCCCCGGGAGCCGTCCGTCGCCCGATCCTCGCGGCGCGCTGGCTCCCCGCACGGGGGGACGCCGCGCGGGCCCCGCACTCCGCCAGGCCCGCGGCCCGTCGCCTTCCGGCCCGGGCCAAAGTTGCGCCAATAGCCCCACAACTGGCAACTACTCACCGGCCGCAGCAGGAACCGGGGCTGCGGAGATTGTAGGGAGTTTAAGGCGAATCCGCCGCGGGAGAGGCGCGCGGAGGCGAGGGGGCTGCAGTGGCGGCGGCGGCGGCGGCGGCGCGCGGCGCTCGGGCTGGGCTGCGCGGAGAGGCGCTGGCTCGGCCAGGGACTGCGCTGCAACAAAGGACTTCCGCTGCCGCACAGCCGCGCCTGCCGCACCGCACTGAGCCGGCCCCGCTTACGCGGCGACTCCGGGTCTGCCCACCAGCCCGCTGCGGCGTCCGCCAGCCTTCCCCTCCCTCTCACCCGCCCACCCACTCCGCCGCTGGCTGCTAGGGGCACCCGCGGTCGCCTGTTTGTTGCAACAAGTTTCTGCGTCGGGCTCCGAGGAGGCTGGCGCAACCCGCACCGAGGGGGCCGGCGTGGTGCGGCGACGGCGGCCGGACCACCCCTCTCCCTAGGGCAGGGTGGGGACCTCCTCCTCCTCCTGTTTGCACAGCTGGACGGGACCGGGCTCCTCTCGCCTCCCCAGGGGCAGGATGCTACTTCCCCACTTCGTTCCAGATGTCAGACCCCAGCCCCGGAGGAGCCCGCAGCTGGTCCCTCCCTCGCGGAACGCCCTCGGCGGTTTGGGGGCGCTGGTACCCTCGCTCGGTCCCATCCGAGGCGCGTCCGCCGAGGCGCGTCCGAGCCCTGCGCCCCCCGCCCCCCCAGCCTGCTTTCCATGGGCCTCTCCGCCACTGGCCTTGAGTCACTTCCCTCGCCATACCCCACCCAGCCCGCCTCCCCTTCCAGGCTCCCGCGGCTCAGCCGCGCTGGCCGCGCGCCCCGAGCCCTCTCCCCGCGGACACGCGGGCGCATCCCTCCCCACCCCCACCCCAGAATTGAAAGGGTGTCAGTGCTTTTGCACACCCTGGGGAAAGTCCCAGGTCACGCGGTTGTTTGTGGGGAGTCTGTGACGCTCGGGTTCGTCCCCACGCTTCCGCCTTCGAGTCACGACTGGGGACCGTGGCCGCAGCGCCCGGAGCGCCAGCCGACCCCCGCCCGACCACTGGGGCCAGCGGCCGCGCACGTCAGCACGCACGCACGCACACTCCGGTCCCAGCACACCCGCTCCCTGGCTACCCGGCGCCCGGTCACGTGGGCCCAGCGCGGGGCGGCCAGCGCTGGAAGCCGCGCGAGAGCGGGCGGCGGGGTGCGTGAGCCGGCGTTGCAGCGTGCCGAGCGGCGCGGGAGCCCGCCCCTCCCGCACGGAGGAGCCGGCCCGCCGCCGCGGCGGCATCTGGGTAAGCGACGCGGCCCAGCCCCTGTGGCTTGCTCCGGGCGCGGCCCCTCCCGCCCCAGCCGCCCGGGGCTGTGGCCTGCAGCTCCGCCGGTCGCGGGACTGACGCTAGTAGCTGGGGTGAGGGGTGTTTTTGATCCGTTTCATGTGTCTGGGCAGAGCAGGAAAATGGCAACGACGAGTGAGCGCTGAACGGAGGAAGCCCCAGAGCCACCCCTCACTGCCTGCCGTGGGCAGCCGCCCGGCCCGGGAGGCGCAGCGCCCCAGGGGGTCTCAGGGGAGCTCTTCCCCGTGCAGGCCGGGGTGCCACCCCGTGCGTGCGGGAAGGCGCCGCTGGCTCGAGCTGCCCCCTAGCAGCGCCAGCCACGCCGGTAAAGCGAGCCGCTCTCCGGGTGTAGGCTGCCAAGATGCTGCGACCCCTGTGCCCCCCACCACTCTGGGATTTCCTAGCATCTAGAGAGGAAGTCTTCTCCCACCCCCCAGATTCATTTATTTCCTCTTGAAAATGATATTAGTGTTCTTCTAAGCTAATCCAGTTTTCCGTTTTGAAACTTGCCTGCTGACCGGCACCACCTCCAGCACTCATTTCAAGCTGTTGTTGGCAGACTGCTTCTGCAGCGCCTAGTGCTGTGGCTGACCCGGACAGTGGCAGAGTACACGTTAAATACATCAACCCCGTTTCCTCCCAAGGGATTACATTTGGCATTCTTTCTCTTGAGACTCAAGTCCTTTTGGCAGAGCTGTTGATTTTCACAGGGTTTTATCAAGTGTGTAAAGTACGCTTTGGAATCGCAGATATTAGAGCTGAGAGAGGCCTTAGAAAATCCATTTCAGCCCTCTTGTTTTACAGCTGAGGCCACCAGGCCAAGGGACACCGGAGAGCATGTGACTCGATCGATGTCCTCCAGGGCTCCTAATGCCTCGATCATTCATTACTCTCTACCACACGGATTGCAGTGCCAGCTGACCCACTCACTGTATGGAGTCTATTACCCAAGTCGTTGAGAAATCAGGCTTTGCCAGTGTGTGATGGCTCCGGTATAGTAAAAGAGTCGGTACTATTTTAAGGTAGGATAAGCTGTGATTGCCTTTCAATCGCCCCCAAGCCGGCCCCCCCCCAAAAAAAAACCATCCCCGTTTCTCTGAAAGAATAGCCAACATTTATAACATCTGGTTGTTTTCCTTGGGTTAAGGCATCAACAGCCTTAATCTGAACGAATAAGTTTTAATTGTGGGTAAGGGATGACTCCATTATCAGGCATCAACTCCTTTTGGGGCACAGAGCACTGAAGGCCTTGGACACGGAGTAGATTCATTCTGGTGGCTGGGAGTAATCAGTGAACAGTAGTATCACAGGGGGTCAGCAAGCAAGGAAATGGGGAAAGGCCCCCCGTGACCTGCTGCCCCTTTTTTGCCCAGCCCTCCCCAAGAAGTCTTATTTGGAGAGTGCAGAGATGAATTGTGCTCAGCTTGATTGCTTTTTATTGAGCACCTTGAACCAATGGATTTTGATTCTTACCCCCAAAAGAGGTGGTACTATCGCCATGTTGCAAAAGAGGACACCGAGGCACCGAGAGATGCCTCGGTGGTGCAGTCATTTGCAGTAGCATTCGGCCGAAATCATTTATCTTCCGAGTCCAGTCAGTGCGCTTTTGCGTTATATCTCGCTACCACGACAAGCTGGGAAGGGGATGAGAGAGTCGCCTGTGGCTGATTTATTGGCGCCTGTGGTTGCCCAGAGAGGCTGAGGAGGACTTTCAGCTGCCCTCTAAGCTTTGGAAAGTGGAGCTGAGCGCTTCCACTCTATCTCCTGAGGGGAATGGGAAGGAGCCAGGCTGTCTAGCTAAGAGGAGGGGCCAGTTGCCGTAAAATATCCTGTGGAGGGCTGTGCTGGGAAGTGTTGCATAATGCCCTCCCCACCACTGAGCTCAAGTGATTTATTTATTGTCTGTAGGTGTTACTTGAACCTCTTGTTAAAGAAAAATGTGCTCCTTTTAGTAATAGCAGGACCAGAAAAAGGAGTCAGGGCGTATGCCATTGGGGGTGGGTTTCCTTGTCTTATAAAAAGCCATGCAGGTGGTCTTGTCTTGATAAATTTGTAAAGTATTTCACCACTACTTCCTGGGCCCCCCTTTTCTGCTGCTTTATTCCAACTTGCATGTGAACTCGTCTTCTGAGGGGAACATGCCGAGAAGTACTGCTTCAGTTTCCCATGAGGTTATCTGATGTCAGACGTGGCTTTTTCATCCCCACCTCCCACCATGTGCTAAGAGTGTGTTTTAAGCAAAAGCACATTACATACATGTGGTCATTGAAGGATTGGAAGATACAATGTACCCCAAACACCGAGCACAAAGCTGGGCATAATGTATTTGATCATCATCAGAGTAGCACTTGGTACCAACTAGGACACTTGTTAAAATTTTTGACTATAACCTAAAAGGTTAATCAATTATTAAGGTTCACATTATTGCTGCTTGAGCTTGCTTCAGCAGAGTGGAGGAAGAGGAAGGAAAATATTTGAGGCAAACATCATCTTCATGATTATTGATTGAATTTATTTACACATCTTTAGCAAGACTGTGTATTTGCATGCGTGTGTGCACGTGCGCGGGCACCCGTGCCTTCTTTGAAAAAGTACAGTGTCGAATCAGTTATTTTATAAAGTGGTGTTACATTGACTTTTTAAAAATTTCTTCTGAAAAACTCCAGGCTCTTCAAAGCAAAGGATTTCATCAGCCCCTGTGGGCAACTGACTGTGAGAGAGAGAGCCTGGCTCACCATACTGGTGAGAAGTCATAAGTCATTCCTGTCTGTACTATATTCTGAGTCTGTGCTCTGGTCTCGTGTCCTTTGAATATCCATTTCCCCCTTTATTGTTTCAGTGAACTACGAGGAATCTTTTTCTGTCCCTTGGAGGCTTTTCTTCCTTCCTTTCTTTCTTTTTTTTTCTTCCTAAGGTCCATCCATTAGCGGTTTACACTCCCTGGTGTTAACCTTCTTGTTATCAGGCCTCCCACAAAGCCGGTTAGATGGGGGTTAGAGATGTAGAAGGTGCCTGCTCTGCTTACTTGCCAGAGGCCCCAAGCTAACTAATGTTTCTCTGTTCTGTTACCCGAAAGTTTCCCTTGTTCTGCTAAACCTCCCAGAGCATAACTGCTCTTCCTGTGTCATCTGCCACATCTGCTTGCCCTCTGCCCCGAACAGGCTTAGCCCAGAATTAACTGCAGACTGTACTTGGAACAGTGTTTTCCGAGTAGAATTTCCTTATCACTCTTGGCTATTAAAGAAATTGGTGTCTTAAAGTTGGATATTTCTTATAAACTTCTCTTTTCTAAATACTTTTAAAAAGAAAAGTTGAAAATGTCCTGCTCTTCCTCCCCCCACTCTCTATAGTCACTCTAGTACTTTAAGAGCACTTTTTTTTTTCTTCACTTTTGTTTCTTAATCTGGCCAAGTTATTAGTTTAAATTACAGGTGTTGGGGTTTTTTTTTTGTTTGGTTGGTTTTTAGGCCATCCAGTATAATGGGTATGATTCCCTTGCTTTGAATGCTTCTGAAAGTGTTTTGTGTTTTCCTATGTGAGTTTAGAGTGTGAAATAATCTCATCTTCTGTTCTTATAAGGCAATGTAGCAGATTGTAACAGTTTTGGTTGAAAGCAGAGACTATCAAAAATATGTGTTTTATTGACTTTGTAAAAGCATTCAACTAATGGATCAGAACAAATTAGGAATAACATTTGGAAGAATGGGAATTCTTGTGCTCATGCAGAACCTGTACTGTTGTTCAAGAGGCAGCTGTTTAAATAGAACAGGAGGCTTATTCCATGGTTTCAAATTAGGGAAGGTGTGTCCTTTTAACATACTTAGTCCGTTTGTTTGCTGAACGAAGACTGTGGAGCAGTGGGCAGCATCAGGATTGGAGGAAGGGTCACTAACAAGCTGTGCTGAACGAATGATAGAACCTTGCTGGACGCGAAAGTGAAGAAGGCCTGAAGCACTCACTGCACAGCCCTCAGTACGGTTTACACCAAAGCCCAAAGCCTCACTACCGGACCAGCCAGCAGCAGGAGGAAGGGGCCAAGCCTGGCATTGTCAAGGCTTTCATGTGGCTTGGTTCCACAGGGAATACCTATGGCAACGGCAGCCAGAAAATCAGATGGCCTACTGCAGGAGGCACTGCCACAGCAGACCTTTCCAAAGAATTCATGGTCTTTAAATTATGGTGTTGGCAAAGAATATCGAATGTATTATGGACTCCCAGAAGAACAAACATGTCTTTCCTGGAAGAAGAGCAGCCAGAATGTTTCCTGGAAGCGAGGCTGGTGAGTCTTCAACTCACATGCTTTGGAGATTACCGGGAGGGACCAGTCCCTGGAGGAGGGTGCATTTTACATAATGCTCAGTCACAGTAGGCCAGCAAAAGAGAGGAAGACCCTCAACAAGGTGCATTGATGCAGTGTCTGCAACGATGCCCTTAAACATAACAACCGCCTAGACCCTCACAACATTATAAAGAATGTTATATTAGAATCATATCATATTTTATTAGAATCACCTGGGGAGCGTTTTTAAAAGTTACACCCCCAGTAATTCTGTTTGGGTTAGTCGTAGGAGTCGGGGCCAGAGTACCTGCAACAGGAGGTTTTATAATGCAGCCACTGTTGCAGGTTAGTCGCCCCTGCATTTGCCAGGCTGGCAAAGAGCACGCCTCACATACTAGTGTGCAAGCACCATGAAAGTGTTAAAATCACCGCATAAAGTCTTCTCATGGGGCATTTTGAATATTTATGCTTTTACTTTTGTTATTTTTAATCATGAGTAAAAAGAAATATACATTTCCTCTGACAACTTTTCGGTCACCATGTCTTAATGATAATCCAAAAATCACAGTGGTAGGACCTACAGAGAAAACTTCTGAGACACACGTGGTTGTTTTTACAGAAACAGCCCTGCTATTCCTGTCGTACTTTTTGTCCAGAGGGAGGGCAGAGTCAGGGCGTCCTTGACATCGGTCTAGCTGCCTTAGCTCCTGCGGTCCAGACTAACGCTAAACCAGAAAACCAAACTCACTGCCATCCAGTCGACGAAGTAAAATGTGAGGGGTAATAAGATAGCTTTTAATTAGAAAAACACAGTTACTGCTATGGCTTCCCCTTCACAACTTCACGTGAGCTAATTCAAAGTCGTTGCAGTTTAGCACGCAAGAGTCTGGTGGTCTCAAGTATCAAAGCTAAACCTGTTATAATCTAAATACGACTTGGATAACAAAACTCTTTTAATATATGGCACTCTTGTATTTTGGCTCAAGTTTTTATAAACATAACAAAATATACATTTTCTTACTTCAGCCTCACATCTTAAAACTTTAACCAAAATATTTTTAAGGTCTTTCTGCATGCATAGTTTACATGAGCCATTACATATTCTAGGGAAAATAAAACTGACGGGCAGAGAAATTATAAAGGATATATATATACATATATATATGAATACTCCCCCCAAAACACAGACTTCCCCCCCCCCAAGCTATTAGTTAAATTTTTTTTCCAAAACAACCCTATCAATTTCAAAGTACTCTCCATTACATTTAACATATCTGTGAAATCTGTAATTCCATTCTTGGAAACTGTTTTAAAACTCATCTGTTTGGATGACTGACAACACCTCTCGTGTTTTTTCTTCACCTCTTCTACATCATCAAATTGCTGTCCTTTCATGTCCCTCTTCACGGAAATAAAAAGAAGTTGCATGGATCATGGTCAGGTGAGTCAGGTGCAAGGGTCAAGAAAGGCATGCTGTTTTTTGCCAAAAACTTGTACACCGAGATGGCTGCCTGAGCAGGTGCATTGTCGTGGCAAAACCAGTCTCGTCTGCCACAACCAGGCCTTTTTTGTCACACACTGTTACACAATCTTTTCAGAACCTCTAAATAGAACGCTTAATTAACAGTCTGATCTGGTGGAACAAATGTATTACTTCGGAGCCAACATTTTCATATGTTGTGGAAGTTGAAGGCAGTCCAGAACGAGGTTTGTCATCAATTGATATTTCACATTTTTTGAAGCAAAACCACTTGTATACTTGCATTTTTCCCATAGTGCTGACCTTGTAAGCTGTGTTCAAAATCACAACAGTTTCTGCGACATGTTTCCCTTGTAGGAAACAGTTGCACTAGAAATATTCTTAGTAACACTGCAATGGAATAGAGCTATTGATGAAGTAAAATACAATTGTGTTGCCTTCAAATAGTAAAGTCTTATTGTACAAATAAGCTTAAAAGGAGTACAATGTGCATAGTAATTTTTTTCTTTCCATCTGAACTGGTTTCATTTTCTAAACTTGACTTCTGCATATTTGCAAAGTCTCCCATCAATATATATGTTTAAAATTGTAGATGGAGGTTTTGTATAAAGGGCATTGGGCGTGAGGTCAAACTTGAAGTCCTAGCAGTACCATTAATAGTTGTATGGCTTTGAGTACCATTCCTTCCTTCTCTGAGCTCATGACACTTAAAAATAGTTCTATTGGCATATTCTTCACATATCATACAAGTTAATCCACCAGACCTATTAAAATTTGTGCAATCATCACCATAATCCGTTTCTGAACATTTTCTTGTACTCGTTGTTAGCTCC